TGGCGCAGTGCTCCTCAACAGGCAGGCCGACAAGTGGGGCAAGCTTGGAGTTACTGCCGAGGCCCGATTGAAGAGCGATATCAAGCTGTCCATCTTCTATGCTTACTTCACCATGGCCCAGAAAGTGTTCAAGCAAGATGGTGATCAGAAGGCAGGGGATGACGAGCAGCCCCCTCCTGTCTATTTCAGCTGCATGGATGAGCTCGCAGTCAGCAAGATGGTGGTGCAGGGTTTGCAGGTCTACGCAAAGCAGTTGCGATCCATGGCCGATGGCTTGATTGAGAAGCTCTCCCAGTGCACACAAGGCAGGCATTCGTCCGGGCCGGACTCGTGGAAGCATGGATTGGAGGGAAGTGCCAGCTTCCAGGACATCAAGACCAACGCAAGCTCCCGGCTGGATTGTGATGTTAGCGGGCTCCAAAGTCTGATGGACCAGCTGACGGAGGCACCATTTGCAATGATTCCACAATCCTACTAGGTCCTAGTCCTAGAGTCCTAGAATTTTAAATCTAGAACTAGATTTTCCCAACACAGAGGCTACAGTAGAGTGGATTCATTCCAGCCCATTTTTGACTTGAATTATGGGTTACAGTAGTGACTCACTAGTGACTAGTGTCAAGACTCTAAAGACTAAGTAGGGCTTCAGTCTCATGAGGGTTATTGGCTGCAACTAGTCATCTCTAGCCCCAACTTCCAGAAGCTAGCAACTAGAATAACTAGAAGAACCCCAGCCGAGATTATGGCGAGATTCTAGGTTTCGGTTATAAGTCCAACTCAACTTTCAGCAGTGCCCGTACTCGAGTCCAAGCTGAAATTTCCACTTGATTCTAGTTGACTCTCACACGAATCCCCCTTCAGTTTGCTCAGGTCCAACAGACGTGTAACATGGCCTACCAGAAGACCAGCTTCCTCCGGAGCATTTGCAGTGAGACAGTTGATGCTGTGGACATCATCAAGGTTTGCCACCACAAGGTGAAGGAGGAAATCAAGCTTGCCGTTATCTTCAAGTACGAGGGCTTGTTTGTGAACGCGCTGATGGATGAAAACGCGAGTTCCGGCAAGGACCTGGCTCGCCCCGAGCTAGCAGCTCTCTCAGGTGACAAGCGGATTAGTGCAGATGACATCCATGCAGGTGTCTTAGAGGCTACCCGCAATTTGCTTGCTCAGCGTAATGGTGCCTAAACATTTTGGGATCACGGCTTGGAAATCATAAGTGTTGATTGCTGGTTCTGCTGACCCAGCAGAGCTTTTAAAAGCCAATTCAATTGGCTCACCAGCAAGGCGCAGCCGGCTTTTGAGATCCTCCCGTGATCATGCACAGACCGGCCCCACGTATTTTTTGTGTCAATGCCGAAGCTTCACATGTCTGAGCCTATCTTGCTTCCAGGAAGGTGGAAACATTATCTACTCAGTACTTGGCAGCCCGTGGCTGGTAGTATCTGGTAACCTGCTAGTTGCTAGCTCCATTTCTGTCTCGCGTGGCACTCCCAGCTTTTCATGGATTTCCAGATTGTAGACTCTCTCATTCCTGCGA